GAGGATAAATCACCTTCTTGAACTTCTTAGATCTGCCTGGATTGAAATCTCTTCAGAAATATATAAAAAATTTGGTCGAGTATGTAAAATAATCACTCTTTTAGAATTTCAGAAACAGTAGATTCACTGACATTTATATTTAAATACAAGCTGGTTATTTTTATGTTTGGGTCTTTATTTTTTTCAATGCATATTTCTATTTTTTGTGAGATTGTTATAGGCGTATGTCCCTTGTAAAGGATTGACTCAAAATCGAAATTTTGTTGTTAGAGCTGTTTCTACTTTCTGCATCCCATACAATAATACCATATTTTTATAATCTAAATACACAGTTTAATAATTTACAAAGGTTTACATATTAGTTTTTTTTTTCAATAAGAGTGCATATTTTGGTTTGAATTTATTATCTTTTTATGTGTAATTATAGAAATTATTCAAGACAACCAGTCAAAACTTTATCATGTTTGTTTTAAAGATAGTTTATAAATATTCAGAGAGCCAATCATGACTATGCAAAACTGTCTTGCAAACATGGAAGCACCTGCTGCAATTGAAAGAGTAAGTAAATTAGCTAAGGATTTCCCTGAATTATCTTTATTAAATAATTATTATAGGGATAAATAATAAAGACTTGTATATTAATAATTCCAAAGAATTTGAAATAATCCCTAAGACTTCAAAGAGTAAATGAGAGCTAAAAAGAGGAATATTGTTAGGAACCTTACTCTTTCTTATAACCAATTAATAATTTAAATAATAACCATAGGAAGAATAGATAGAATAAAACTTCAATTTCAGAATCAACTAGGATCTTTCCACAGTAAGTTCTGGTCAAATATATCATCAGTTTAATTTTGTTAACTAAATTTTTTTTATTCGATAATTTACTTATTGTAATTCTTAATTTATAATTTCTTAATTCATAAAATTTTTTTTTAAAATTCATAAAGTCTTTATAAGTAATTTATTTAATTATAAAATTGTTTTTTTTTATCAATAAATTTTATTATTGTACATAAGATATTTCAGATCAGGTCCAATCCAATCTGTTCAGAGCTCCTTCAAACTCAATCATTTAAATTATTTTGAAATACTAAAAACCTGCTTTCATTCCTGTATGATGCCAAAATAATATTTTTTTCCTGCTTTACAGCTTTTCTATTTTAGTGTCTAAAGTTCACCTGATGCTACATCCACTTGGTATAATGTTTAATTCTTCAAGTTGCTTGGTTAATTCATAGGCAGTTGTTTTGGGCTCTTTCTTACTACTTTCACAAGTTGTCTTTCATAATTTTTAGGTCTGCCGGTGCAGTTGGTTTACATTTTTTTAAAAACAATCATTGATGGTATTTTCAGCTGCTCTTTTGGATCTGTTTAATGTGTTAGCTATTTTCCTATAAGAAAAATTTGCCAATAATTTGGCTCATTATTGAGTGCCAGGATTTTTAAGCCAATCAAAATAAATTTATGATTTGAATCATAAATTTATTTTGATTGGCTAATTCATAAATTTATTTTAATTGGCTAATTCATAAAATTTATAAAATTTATCACAATATTAAAAAAATTCTAATTGCGTCAGTAATGGCCCAAAGAAATAGACAGAGATATTCCAAAAAACAAGCAGGAATCATAGAAATTGAATCACAAAAGATATTGGATGCTTGTAAAGGAGATAAAATTCTGTCTAAACATGTCTCTGAATGGTATCGTCCCCCAAAATACTCTTATCGAAGTTTAACACCAAATCCCGATGATGACTATTTATTATCAATTTTCTTTTGGCGACCTGAAAATTTCTATCACCACTATGTACCTATCATTCCTTGTATCATTGACAGTTGCAATGGGAAGGTTAAATCAAAAGGGTGGGCAGATGGGGGTGGACGATTAATTTATGGTATTAATAGAAATGTTTTACTACGTAGTTGGAGTTATACTTGTGATTCTTGTAAAATTAGCTTTTATTCTCATGATGATAGACTGTTGAGAAAATTACCAGAACATATACAACATGGTATGTTTATATATTATTAATTTATATATCAATTTCATAATTAGCATTTCCTTTTTATATGTTATCAAAATCTGGGTTTACTTTAGAATTGGTTTCAGAAATTTTGTCTCTAATTCCAGATATTGGTCTTGATAAGGTTGTTCAAAGGATATGTGAGAATCATATTGATTACTATTTAAAAAAAGAGAATCGTTATTATGAACATTGCATTAAGTATCAAAACTATTTATCAGCAAGTAATAATAGTGATTTCTTTGGAATGAATATTTCTATGAATAATTATGTTTTTAGAATTTTTTCAAAATTTGATGATCCAGATGAGTATCAAGGATTGTGTCCTTCTGCAACTGTTATAAGAGAATGTTTTTTAAATTACTTTGAAACTAAGTTGGAGAGTTTTATTGATATGTACATGAGAAATTTATCTGGAGAAGTTTTATCATCTGATCACACTTTCAAAGTAGCATCCTTGGTTTGGATTGCAAAAAACCAACCATTTGGTGCTTTTTGGGCTGTTTTGAATGAGTATAATGAGGTGATTACCATGGCATTTGTTAAAGATAAGTCAAATGCTTGCATAAAACCTATTCTTGAGAATCTTAAGAAACGCTACCAATTATTAAATAAAGATGATCCTTGGGCATGGTATTCAGATCAATGTTGCACTGATCGAAAGTTAATAAATTCAGTTTTTCCAAATACACCAGTAAAGAAGGACCTATTTCATTTTTTGGATCTCTATTTACGTAGTATGGGCAGAGAATCACAAAGTAACCTTTTTTATAAACAGTTTGTTAGAGAATTGCGTGATATTTTTTTCATAAACAAAGATAATCAAAAAAAAATCCCACAACCAACTTTGTTAGAAGAAAGATTAGAAAATTTCATAGATAAATATAAAAATCCCAAGTTTAATATTATAAATGAAAATTTTCTCAAACAGCATAGAGATAATTTGATTCATATTAGACTTGGATGTGTTTCTGATGTCCAGGACAAGCCTTCTGAAATCATTATCAAGGGTAAGTATTTATTTTTAATATAATAAATAATTAATTAAATAATTAATTAATTAATTAATAATTATCTTGAATTTTTAGATAAAATTAATAATAAATCTAAAACTTTGTATTTACGTGGAACTTCATCATTGGAACAAGCAAATAAAGCTTTTGCAACTCCTTTTAGACGTACTGCATGTGGACCTCGTATGGCTAATGCATTGTTGAAGATAACTGTCTATTGAAGAAATGTTCATATGGGGAGAGTGAATCGTCAAGATAATTTCTTACTAAAGTGCAATTATAGTTATTTAATTAAAACAAAACTTAGAACATTTGAATTGATGAAAATTTTGTTTCCAACAGAACATTACAATGAATTTTTGATTTATAATATAAATTCTAATGAAACTTTTGGATTTTTGAGCAGTGATAAAGATAATTTATTAATTAATGATACTATGGAGGAAGAATTGAATGACATGGATATTATGGAATCAGGAGAAGACATGGTATCAAGCCTATTGGATTTATCTTATGATAGCAGTGATCCTGTGTCTAGTAATCCATCAACAATGAATTATGATAACTTTAATAATATTTTGATTGATAATAATAATAGTAACAAATATCAATCATCATCATTATTTATTAAGGAAAGAACTGGAGGTTATGTTTGCACCAGTAATTTTAATTCCAATGAACACAGTAAATTCAAAGAACTTTACAAAAATCATCTAAATCAAATTAATGATCCTAAAAATATTAATTGGGATAAAGTATATGAATATTGGATGGATCTTGCTGATAGAAATGCAGATTCAAATTCTTGTACATTAATCCATCCTAAATTAAAAGAACATTTAAAAGAGCATTTTTCAGTAATTAATAATTTTTATTTACGAAAAAAAATAGAAGAAAGTGTAGAAGCAGGTAGAATATAGTTTTTAAATATTTAACATTAATAATGAAAGATTTTAACTATTTATTTAATTATTAGGGGTCTTCATCAACAACATCCAACCCATCATTAAATACAAATGGTAAATATGCTTCTTACTTTGGTTTTCACTAAATATCATTGAGATATCATTAATTATTATAATTTTTTACATAGCATTAAATAATAATAAGAGACCAATATCACCAGTGCCATCATCACCATTTATGCAACAGCAACAAAAACGAACATATAAAGAACCAATTTGTCATCGTTGTGGCAAAAGTAAATCTAAAGATAAAAAAGAACATCCATTAAAAAGGTATTGTCCTGATGGTGTGTTAAGTACAAAAATACATATTACATTTCCTCGCGTTTGTGAACAAAAACCATGTTTTCAAAATTGTAATGATAGGAATTAGAATAAAATAAAATAATTTTATTATGTACAATATTTTATTTATATTTAAATCACGAGATATTACATCAAAATCCTGGCAGGGTTTTGAGCCGCAGTCAATTCTGGCAGCCAATTACGAGCCTTTTTGATGATCAGTAAGTGTATATAATAATGTTCATTAATATTCTAAAGGAAAGAGGAAATTACAAATATATATATATTATTTATTGTGTGTATATAATATTAAAGTAATATGTGTGCGAGTATATATATTATAATTTTTGATTTTCCAAATAAATAAATACTACACATTTTACATTTTCCAAATAATATATTATTTTCAATTTTGCTATAAAATTTTCTAATTAATAAAACATAAATATAAAAAGTAATGGAAAAAAATATAATTATAACCAAATAAAAATAACAATAAATAAATAACCTACAATGTAATAAACAAATAACTTTGGGTTTTTTTTAAATAAAGTAAAAAGTAAAGATGAATTGATGATGATAAATAAACAAATGATATAAATTAGAAAAAAAATTTTTTTTAAAGAATCAAAAAAAAAAGTTCATTAAATGTGTTAATTAAATTAAAGTTAGAAACTATATATATATATATATATATATGTATATATGTATATATGTATATATACAATAAAACTAAATATACATAACCTATATTAATATCAGATTATAATAAATATTTAATAATAATAATAATCAATTATAATATAAAATTACCAAATTTCATTATTCTTGTCCGAATCCTATGGTCTCTTCTACAGCTAGTGTTAATTTTGCTACCAATCTATTAATAGTATAAAAGTACGTATGGTCAAAATAAAAAAAATAGCAAAGAGAAAAACGCAATTTCAATTGAAGGCTTTAAATCAAAACTCACGCATCATATGTTTTATATGGTGGCAAGTCAATACGATTGAAGCTATTCAAAGTAAAAAGATGGTTAATGATTTCAAATAAACTGTCATACAATTTAAAAAATTTTCTCAATATTGCTACATACCAAGTATGGCTTTTTGGTAATTGAGTAATATCACCTGCCTTCTCTATTGTAAATCTTCTAGGTCCATCACTACCTTGTAAATCTTTAAATCCATTGACAGGGATACGTGATGTTCCAGTGGTGAATTGCAGTAAACGAGATTTCTTTTCTGAATCCCATGATCTTACACACTATAAAATGATTAAGATTATTTAAATATGTATACAGTCTTTTAAAACAAAATAAAAAATTGCTTAAATTATATTATGCAAACCTTCCAGAACCACTGTATAACTTCATCAGATTCAGTATAGCCTCTATAATCAGTATGCTTCTTCCAATCATCCACGTCAATCTCTGCTATACCTCCAATAAGTAACTGTAATAATAATAAAAAAAGAATAAAATGAATTTGTTTCAAATTGTATAATAATTACAATATCAGTGTAGTCCTATGTTAACTAATAGCAAATAAAAAAACTTCCAACCTCTAATTCACGTTCATCAAAAACTGAAATCAAATCTTGAGGTATTAATTGATTAAATCCTTCCATAAATGCTTTAAATTGTTCTTCAATACGTTTTGAAATACGCCACTCAGTTATATGTCTAAATATCATAATTTAAAAATTAGTTACTGTATTTTGGGTGGCTTTAAATAAGATATCATAATTATACATTATATAAATAATATTAAAAAATTACTCAATATATTCTTTTTTGCTTTCTTCTGTAACAGGAATATCTCTTCCATTTGGTTTTAAGTCAACGGTCACCACTTCACCAAATCGATCATCCTCTGTTGAGAATGTCAGATCTAAAACATCTGTAATGTCATTATCTCTGTAAACATTTGTTAGCAGGTTAGATTTCTCTTACTTTATTGCAAAACAAAAAATTGTTTTGATGGAAATCGCAATTACTATACATACAAAGCCCATTTTAAACTCCTAAAAAAATCTGCATCAACACTTTCCATATCAGGTAGCCCAACTTTCTTTTTTAAAATCATTTTGTAAAATGATGTGATGAAAAATGCATCTAAAAATCTACGATGAAATATTGCAAGACCAACTACACGGCCAATAAATTTAAAATAATTGAGATGTTCAGGATTAATTCCTGAATGAGGATTAATTTGAAGTGTGTAGTTATCATGCGCTGAATATTCAAAAAGACAATAAAAAGGATTGAACATTTCATGTGAAAGAAGGAAAAAGAATTCTCTGTTTAAAAAAAAAAATATTAATTAAGATTAAATTAAATTTTGAAATTGTAATTTATGTAAATGATCTATTTATTTGTACCTAGACAATCCTCCGTAATCTAAACCATCTTCTCCCTCAAATTTAATCATTAAACGTTTTTTAAGTTCTTGTGGTTGTTGACGCATAATTTCCGAATAGGCATCTTCAAAAATAAAATTACGTCTAACTTTGATGTGACATTGCCCTGGAACAGGACGAAGTGCTGGTTGAGACCTGAAATAAATAAGTTTTCTACGGAAATCTCGCTTATATTGAGGCACATTTTGACTAATTTATTAAATAAAAATAATTTAGAATAAATATTGTATATGCGTGAATATATATTTGAGTTGTAATCAAGACATACTCCAGACTACTAGGTAATCTCGGATCATCCCATGTTGTTGTTTTTGTATTATGATCTACAAAATATACCCTTGCTGTACTAGTTAAACGCATTTCCCATCCAGAAGGTAAAGGTCCAAGTTGAGATACTGGTTGTTGTTGAACTGTGACATTATTGGCATTTCCACCATACATCCGAATGAATTGTTGCCTACGAGGATCAACCCATGTTGTTGTTCTAGTATTATGATCTACAAAATAAGGTCTACCTTCTGGCGTTGCTCTTTGTTCTTTTGATTAATTATAATAAATAAACATAAATATACATCGTTATAAATAATATTGGGCATTATTGATAAGAAACCATTTACATACCCCAACCAGGTGGTAATGGACCAAATCCAGCTGTTGTTGCGCCACTTACTGGTATTATACCATTCGTTGCTGGAGAACTTGTTGATGTTTCTGCATTAGAATTTGCAAGAGATGTAGATGATGAATTATTATTAGGTAATGGCGAAGAATTTGTTGGTAGCCTTTCCTCAGGAAGTGTACGATTGTTATGACGGCGGCGTTCTAATTCTGTTATATTTTGTTGCTCTTGTAATCTTTGAGTTGCAGTTGCATTCGTCGATGGTCTTACCCAAGTAGTTGTTCGAGTATTATGATCGACATAATAAGTACGTCCTAAATGATCAACGCGCCTTTCCCAGCTTTAATATTTTTGAAAAAAAAAAAGTGATTAGAATTGAATCTTTAAAAGCAAAAAAAAAAAAGTTGAAGAAATATAAACAATCGATTTAAAAACTTGACGAAATAATTTACCCAGGCGGCAAAGCTCCATATTGATCTTCAAATGATGAAAATGTCCTGTTTGTTGAGGAATGTCCAGATCCAGGACTTGGGCTTACAATAGCACCATTTTGAGTGACACCAGATGATGTTGAAGGTGTTGTAGTTGAAATACTCGTTGGCCGCGATGAGACTTCAACATGACTACTATCTCGTTGATTTTGAGCTGCTGTTGTTGCTGATGATGACGATGACGATGATGATGATCCTGCAATTGATGAATTTCGGATATGGTTTGTTGAAGTCGTTAAATTTCCACTTACGCCTGGGTGATTCGCTGGTGTGTTGACATTTGTGGATATGCTGATAATTAATTTACCATGTACCACTTCGTTTGCATTTGATTTTTTTAATTCTTTTGTCAACATTTCTAAATTTAGATAATTAAAAAAAATTTAATATTTATAATTTCAAAAAAAAAAAGTGTTTTTTTTTTAACTAATAATAATAAATTTCTTAATCAAAAAGGGCACAAACCATCACCACCAGTATTAACATCAAACACATCACCAATTTGAACATTAATTACACCTAAAAAACCTTGATCTCTTTTTTTAAACTTTTTTTGATCGAAAATTTGAACCGCAACAACACTTTGACTTGTTACTTGTCTAAAAATATCATTAGTGAATAAAAATAATTTTAATATTAATAATAAAAAAATTTCTCAAAATAATAATCAAACAAAATTATATTACATGTCAAAGCTTTCATTCCAATAAGGATTCAAACATCTTTTTATTACAGAAGTAGTCTGTGTTTGTTCACCATCAACGGTAACAACTGCAAAAGGATCAGGTAACCCTATATAAAACACAAAAATTATATAGATTCAGTTTTAGATTGATTTTTATTAAAGTTGTATATTCAAAGTAAAGAACATACGAAAAACATCTCTTTTATATAGGCCATCTGCTGCGATAACTTTATTAAAGATTAAAAAAATAAAAAAATGTAAATCAATGAACTTTTCATCTTGGGAATTTTGTTAAAATTAGAATTAATCTTATATAGTACCTGTCAACCGTACAGTTCTCCTGTAATTTATTAAAGCATAAATGTTATGGTAGTTAAAAGTACACAAGTTTACAACCAAAAAAAAATTTTGAATGAATGATTTAAGTAATGGGAAGAAACATTGTGAAAAATTTGCAAGATTTTCATAAAATCTAATACTAACATTTCTTGATTTGTCATTTTTTTTTTGATAAAAAAAGCTCCTTATCTTCTCCCCTTTTTTTTCAAAAGGTCTAAATATGTATGGAAGTAAATTATTTAAAATAAAAATAACTAATTTTTTCAATTAATTTAGATTAATATATTGTTTATTTTATTTTATTTTTTATTTATTTATTTATTAAATTTTTTTTGAGGGAAGAGGAAATAAATAATTAAAAATAATCGGTGTGGCAAAACTAAAGGTTGGAAATCAAAACTGCGGAAAAATATATAAATAAATTTAAAAGTTACACGCAATAATATTTTTAATATTAAAATTAGTCTATGGAAATTGCGCATAACGTGTAACACTGTAAAATTTATCTTCATCAAAAAATGTTACTCTACAGACTGAAAGCATTGCTTTTGTTGACACTCACCTAAATTTTTATAGAACAAACAGAGGGAATAAAGTTGGTTAAGAGCTATTTGAAGGCTTGATTGACTTTACTTGAATTCCAATTTCAAATATCATTATTAAATATTAAGGAATCAGAGAATAATAATAGTATTATTATTATTAATGCACATTATAACATTCAGAATTATTCACTTTCTCTTTTTAAATTTGGTAGGTGAAGTAAGATGCAATGTATGATTAATTATTTGCCCAAATTGTTTTGGAAAAAAGCAATTACAGCAATCATTTCAATATTCTTTACATGAATGAACGTAAAATAACTGTTATTTTAATTTATCCTAGATTAATAATTTTGGATATAACTATTACGGTTACTATGAAAAACTATTCGGCAACGATCATTTATTGAGGGTTAATTTCGGCCAACAACTATGATGCAAAGTATTTATAAACAAGTTAAATAACAGTTAACTTGGAAATTAATCAAGCCTTTTCAATTGACTATTAATTTAAATTTTCTAGTATATTTGAATGATGAGGATATTTTTTTTATACAGGTATATTGCATGTTAAAATAAAATGCATTCAAAGAATTAATAAGAAAATAATTTTGAATTTTCTTACATTTGTGAATAACATTATTGTCAATTTTCTGTTATATCTTGAAATAATTATATAAAATTTCATTTACTAAAATACTTTTTACGTGATCCTTTATTTTATCTCTTAATGCTCATCTAATATGTTTTGTCTAATATGTTTTCACTTGAAAAAACCTTCCATTACATCGTTACTTTATTGCAAAATCAGTTTTTTCCCACTCCCAGTTATTGAGCCTTAGCATTTTAAAAATTGGCTGGCTGACTATTGTCTAGATGATCTTCACCATACTATTTTGTGACACAACGGATCAAAAGATTTTTTAAATATTAATATGTTAGTTGAAACATCAAAGCTTTTGAATTCTATAATTATTAATTATACATTAAACGAAAATACAATTGAAAAATTTATTCCATTTATTCTTGAGACAATTTCACAGTATCAACTTTTAAAAAGTGATGATAACGTTGATAAAGAAAAGACGCTGATACTAAATAAGTGGTGTTTACGTGTAAATTCTTTATTAAATTCCAAAGTGATTGGTGCGAGATGGGCCGGAATTTGCTTTGTTAAAATATCGATTGAGCAATCTGAAGTTTTATTTGTTCAAAATCTACAAACATGGCTCACGAAACTTTTGAATTTTCTTAAGGTTAGTAAAGTAATTTTAGCAAAATTTGTTAACAATAATAACGATTATTTTTTATTTTTTATTGAATAGAGCAAAGAACCAAATTTTGTAGTAATAGATGTCATTGATGCAATTTATAAGTTGATTGAGAAAACAATTAATAAATCAGAACTACAAAAAGAAATTACTTTCACATATTTACCTAAAGTCAATTCAATTTTATTAAATTTATCAGAAAATAAACAATTATTGGTAATTAATTTATTTAATATTTATTTATTTTATTTATCAAAAAAAAATTTTTTTTACTAACGATATAATATTAATGATAATACAAGCCAAACATTTTGTATTTTTTATCATTTTCAGCCAAAGGATTTCCAACAATTTTCAAACCATTTTTAGAAAATACTCAAAAATTATGCTTGAATAATTTATTAAATGATGATAATGGCTATGAATCTTTAATTGTCAAATCTTCAATTAGTTGTTTATCAAATACAATGAATCCCAGTATTAAAAATAACAATTCAATGGAACACTGGAAATCACATATATTAAAAATCATTAAATCGTTAAATCACATACTAAACAATTTATTCAAAAACATTGTAGAAGAAGGCAAGTACATACATAATAAATAAATAATGTTGTTAGTAAATACATGAAGATCCATTATATTAATTTTTTTAATTTATTAGATATAAAGTATAATTATTTAAGCGAAGAGCAACAAATATTTGAAATGTCAACTATTTCTGATGATTATATTACTAAATTTCCAATATTATTTTCAAGATTTCAATGTTTATCTGAATATTTGATATCAATATTAAGGTAGAGAGATTAATATTGTTTTTTATGCTATATGAAACTATTTTAATTATTTGATTGATCATTTGATTTATTATAGTGTGCCAACATTGTTTTCCATTCATATTCCAATAAATCAAATTCTTGATTTGATCTGTAGAACCTTTAATAATAATAATGAGTTAATTGTAAGAAATCAGTTATCAATTATTTGATTGACTAATTGATTTATTTATTTATTAATCTATGACTTTGCCATTATTATTATCATCAGGTTAATAATAAAGATAAAAATGAATATTTAACTTTAATCTTGGGAATAAACTCTCTATATTTTCACTCAATCAAAATTTTGTCAGCTTTAATTCTTGGTTGTGAAGAATATTTATTAAGAAATCTAAAATTAATATCAACTATAATAATAAAAGCTTTGAATCAATCAAAAAATCAATGGTAAATTAATTTATTCATTTATTTATTTTAATAATAATAAATTAAATTATTTTATTTTATTTTTTAGGTTACTTAAAAATTCTGTTTATAATTTATTATCAATATGTATACAGAAATATGGGATTGGATTTGTTAATACAGTGACAAAATCAAATTCATCAACTCTATTGTTTGATTATGTTATTGATGATATCAAAATATATCAAAATATTCAACTTAACAACAACAACAACAACAACAACAACAACAACAACAACAACAACAACAATAAATCAACAGTAAAAAATGTAATAAAAATTTTTTTAAATAATTATTTAAAATATTTATATTAATTGTTAATTTGATTAATTATTAATTTAAAAGATTGGAAACAAGAAAAAAAACCAGGATAACAATGATCATGATTTTAATCAATTGTATGACATCAACAAAAATAACTTTTCTACTGTTCAACAAAATATTGATTTACAGATTTCTGCATTAAATGGTAAACAAAAAATTATCTTGCTTTCTTAATTTGTATTTTCTAGAAATTTCCAATATTTATTTATTAATGTTTTATATAGTATTGAAAATATTATTAACAACTTGTGGCAATTTGGCACCTGTGAATTATCGAGTTACAATTGATAACATTTTAATATATAGAATTATTGCTGATATTAATCAATTAGAAAAATCTAATAATAATATAGGAGAAAATAATCTCACATTAAAATTATATGAATGTTTATTAGCTTCAATAATATCACCTTCACAATTTCATTCAACAATACTCCCACAAGCAATAAATCTATTCAATTCTGGATTAAATTTAAAATCATATCAGGTAAATCTAATTACCACTTTTACTAATAATATAATATAGATAAATGATCAATAATCTATTTTTCCATTATTATCATTATTAGTTGCAATCATTCTGTTCTCAATCTCTAATGATATGTGATCTCATGGTTCACAGTCGTCTACCACCACTTGAACATCATTTACAAACAAAATCTTCAATACACCAAATTACTTTTATGAACATTGATGATGTTGTTGATACTATTGATGATGATAATAAATTAAAATCATTGTCATTTACTGATAATAATAATATTATTTCTGAGAGTCTTAATAAGAGACCACACTCAATAGATGATGATTTTGAAATAAATCAAGATGAGAATGCACAAGTTTTTAAATCCCAAAGAATGAGTGAAAATATTAATGATGATGATAAAATAAGATTTACATTCTTCCTAATTACAAATGTAATCTACTGTCTCTGACTTAAAAGATGAAGATTTTGCCAAAGCTGCTGATGAATATAAAAAAATATTTCAAAGAATAAAGGAAATTATGATGATAAATCTATTTGATGATGAATAACAGGTATAACTTTTTTAGGTTTTTATTGCTATGATTCATGTTGATAAAATTAAAAGGAAAAAAATAAACCAATATTGTAATAATCAGATTTATTTTCCTTTTAAAGGTTTTTGCTTTTTGTTGGATAATAATAGTACATTTTCATGTTGTTTTCTTTTTTTAATGTTTATTATTTTTCTTTCTTCTTGGTAAATTTCATAAGTAATCCTTTCTTTTTTTAGATAAGCTTCAAGTGTTTGAGTATCATTTATTTTGAAAATGTAAGGAGCAATTTTTTCACCTTGTTCCTTCTTCAAACTTCTATTGGTGCTATAATTCTTGGGTTCCATGGTAGATCTGATATAAATGAGTTTCATACTAACTATTTTTATATGGGAGTAGTTCTATATCACTTAATGTTAAGAAGATAGCAAATAGGAGATTTTAACAATCACATTACTAAATTTTGATCCCTGAAATTCTGGTAATATAAATGTTCACTCTGTCTGGTTTTGTTGCAGCATGCCCCATTTAAACATATTACAGTCAAAGCTCATTATAGTGGATCTCGTTATAGTGGATTTTGTCTATAGTGGACTTTTTAAATTTTCCCAATCCACTTTATAATAAAATTTGTTCGTTATAGTGGACTTTTTAATAAAATCTCTTTATTGTGTATAGTAGACTTTTAAAAAATTTGATATAGAGAATTATGTTCGTTATAGTGGAAATCATGTGATTTACAGCAATCTTTTACATTAATGGTTAATATTAATCTCTAAATAGTGCGTGACTTTAACAAATTGAATTAATTGGTATGCTAACTTTTATTAATTTTACAAAATTGATATTAACAAATTGATTTGTGCATTATTCTTTTTTTAATGGCAGCAACACTTGATTAATTTTTTTTACAAACCGAGAAGCAATAAATTTAAATCAAATTTCTTCTACTGAAATTTCTGAACTACAAAATTCAATTAGTGCATTAAACCTGAAAGATCCAATCACTGCAGAACGTTTTATTTGCATTGATGATAAAGCACCAATGCAAGTACTAATAGATGAAAAAATTATTAGAGCAGCAGAGTCAAATCCTGAGGTTGACGATTCAGATGAAGAGGAAGAAGCGGAAATGATGGTTATTTCTGATAAAGAGGCATTAAATAATTTAGAAAAAGTGATTCAATATTTAAAAAATCCACCAGATAATTTTACAATTAGCTATCAAAAATTAAAAATGATTAATGGTTTAAAATCAAAAATTCATAAACATATTCAGGATAATGCAAAACAACTTACAGTAGACAGAGTTTTATTTAATAATAATTTATTTATTTTACTACGTATATATGTTATGCATGAATTTATTTGTGTTCCTAATAAAAAAAAATTTAGTCTCGTTATATGAGACTTTTCAATTTGTCTATAATAAGTCCATTATAAAGAGATTTTTCTTTATAGTAGAAATTCGTTATAGTGCACAAAAATGCCTGGAACCAAATTTCCACTATAACGAGCTTTGACTGTAATATGAAAATTGGTACACAGTGAATCTCGATTTAGCGGATACTAATTAAAAATCTCAGTTTTACGGATAAAGTTCAAAGAACGGTTTCATAATAAACCTTAATAAAAACCTTCTCGATATAGCAGATATCTCGGTTTAACAGATTTTTGGAAAATTTTCCCTAATTGCCCAAACTATCCATTAATCGAGATTCACTGTGTAAATACAAAATTTCATGTGATGATCAGCCAATCAAATGGATTTTCAATCATGCTTTGGTGAAACGCCAACATTTATTTTCTTGTCGCGTACCAAAAATTTTTTGAAGAAGGTATGATAAAGTTTTACATTTTTATTTTTACATAATAGCCTAAATATCACATATAAACACAAGAAAAATCCAGTCTTTGCATTATCATCATAAATGATTGGTATACTTTTGTCAATAAATAAGAAATGTCAAAGGAAAAAGACAACATGGCTATGGAGATCCCTCTCTCTCTCACACATATGGAAACCTGCACGAACTTGGACAATCTGGAAACACAAAATAATTCAATATACAGCATTTGGAAACTTTTAGATGTTGAAATATATTGTTCAACAATTATTCTTATGTTCCTCGAGAATGTACAAAAAGGCTAAGCTTACCTCGCCCCCCCGATGATAATATGATGCAAGTAATTCTCAGGGGTGGGGAGTGGGGCCCTGAGGTTGCATGAAATTGTATCATTGTCAAAGAGACTGCTAAAGCCGGCGTTGGCCATTGATTATTTGTGGAAAATTATTTATTTAAAAAAAAGATCTCTCATTATCTTGGCTGATTAATGACCAATTGCCAACACTGGCTAAAGCTTTCACTTTTCCAAAGCCTTCAAATATTTGGGAGCCTTCGTCTGTGGGAAAAAGTTCCATGGTCATGCTGGACTCAACTTCAATGTTTGATGCAGGAAATTTTATTAAATCTGCACCCGTGATAATATTAGTCAGATTTATTTTTTGGGAATGGTCACTAGTAAGGGTTACACCTGATGAACCAACCTACACAACATCTACAACACACGTGCACAAAAAAGGGAGACTTGACCATCCACTGCCATTATCTTACATTGAAAGAAATCACGGGTTAAAATCAGCAAAAACGTCATGGGTTTGATTTATTCTCCACCATTCAGTATCATTGATTTTTAGGGACAATCGAAATTACTACCCTCTCAGATTTTCTCATTTTGTTTGTCAGGACATTACGTGACTTTACCAAAAGTTCATTTCTGCATGATCTTAGTATTGTTATTACTTGGATGATGCAATTATTTGTTATAACAACATCAAATGCATTGGCATAATCATCATGAATATTGTAATAGACATGATACAATAGTGATGGCAAAAGATTAAATAATAGCAGAAAAGTTAAGTAATGTTTTATTTATTTGTTTCAATTAAGAGAAAATACATAATGATTTTAATTTATATTAAATATTAAGATAAAAACACCAGAGCAATTGCATTGGAGAAAAGATAATTATAAATTTCAAGGATAGCAATTATTTAAGCATAAAATTAAAAAATTTGGTCTTTTTTTGAATTTTCTTTTTCTCGAGGTTTGAAGTTTCTGTGAAATTGAGGTGTTATTAATTTTAGAGATGGCGTGTTCATTATGATGTGGAAACAGGGATTGGAATCTTCCACGGTATGTTGAACACCAATAGTAGTTAAATCGAGTAGGTTTGTGTATACCAGAGTGATTTTTTCTTCGATTTTACATATACGAGTGACACTGATATGTAGGACATGGAGATTTTGAGTATCAAAGAAACTACAAATAAAAAAAAGTAAAAATATATATATCAATGCAAATAAAAATAGTGCCTCTGGTTAGTTATTAACATGTCTTCAGAACCAAACCATGTCATACCAAACAGCAACACTCACGTTTTGTCATCTTGGAAAAATCAGTTCGCGTCTGTCCTCGAAAAAAAAATCTTCGTGCAACATCAACTGCCAATAATAATATTAATTTTTTTTAAACATGTCTCTTTTTCTTAAAGAAAAAAAATTAATTTTTTCAAAATGTCAAAAATGGAGAAAAGAAAATGAAATGTTTGATGCTTACCATAAAAATGGCGGTGATGGCGTCGTCACTCTAGTTATTATAGTCAAACAACGACATATCAAAAGAATCAAGTTGTCATACAATTTTTTCTCACAAGAAAGTCCAAATTTAATTTTTTTTCTTCTAGATCCTAAACATTCTTGTGTGTAAAAAATTCTCGCATTTTCTTGACTTCCAAAATAAGTATTCCATAACTATAATTCACAACAATATAAAGATTATTAAAAATAAATAAATCGTATGAAGTCTTTAATCAAATAATATTTATTTGCAAGTTTTTTATTATATATAAAAATCTAATTATTCTAAAAGAAATCATTGTAATTGATCCCAAGTAATCCTTTACTTTTGATGTACTTATGTCTTAGCATGAACAACAAATTATTGCCTCTATGATAATTGTGTTTATTTTTTCTTTATTTATTTTTTATTTATTTATGATTGTAAAACGGTTAAGACTTTTCATAATAAATTTACATCCATACTTAACATTAACTTAATAGATTGAATGTTGCACCGGATTGATTTTGTTGTTTTCTTACTATTTATTATATTAAATTTATTCGGTCATTTATCCGAACTTTATCTATTCTATTAATTAATTTTTATCCAAACATTATACATTTATTAATTAAAATTATTCAGTAAATGCTCAGTCATTTATCCGAGCTTTATCCATTTTATTAATTAAATTATATCAGTGAAACCTCCATTTTTTATGAAAAATGGAATTTCCATAAATGTATCATATTCACAGAATCTATAAAAACATGGAAATGTATATTCATTAATATAAACGGAAAAACACTGAATTTAACAGAGATTAATCACGGAGTAAATTTTTTAAGGCTTGAAAGCCTGAAAAAATTTAGACACCCATCTATAATTGCAACTTTTTACAACAAAATGTAGTACACTTTTGTCCAGCATAGCGCACCATAATTAAAAATATTTGTCATAACGAATTTTTGGTGGGGTCTTTCTCGTCACAGCGAATTCACGTGACATAAATTTTTATCAAATTAAAAAATTTTTTTTCCTAATAAAACAAACAATCAAATAGATACAAAAACAATTGATAGATTATCCAAAGGTTTGCGAGTAACAAAATTTTACAAGTTCCAAATAAACAAACAATTGACAGATTATTTGCGAGTAACAACCTTTCCCAAGTTTCTAAAATAAATTAATAAACAAACAATTGGTAAATTATTTGTCTAAGTGTTTGCAAGTAACAAAATCTTCCAAGTTTCTAAAATAAATTAATAAACAAACAATTGATAAATTATCTAAAATAAAGTATGTATTTTTCGCAAAAAATCATCAGCAATTTTGCGCAGCATCATGAAAATATCCAATTTTATTGGTGGGTTGGGTGCTTATAATAATTTACTTGATTTTAAAAAACTAGTAATGGTAATAGTAATTGATCCGTGCTCTATTTATATTTTGCGTGACACTAAGAGATGATTTGGAAATTATATGCATACCAGATGAAGTTGTTGCATAGTGATCAAATATGTAATTTAATTTCTTTTACGCACTGTATATTTCAAAAATCTATATTATTAAATACTAAAAGTTATTGTTATCACACCAACCGAAAAAACAGTTATCATAATTACATTATACTTTTTCTGGTTATCGTATTACACCAACAGCCTTTTTATCCGGCTCATCCCATTAGTAAAAAACACCAAAAACGGTTAATGTATTACGCAATGAACCAAAGAGTTATGTATATAATTAGTTAAAAAAATTAAAAAAAAATTTTTTTAAGTATTAGTGTAATTAATATTTTTTTTTTTTTAAGTATTAGTGTAATTAATATTTTTTTTTTTTTAAGTATTTATTTTTTTTATTTTTTATTTTTTGCGAAAGATTGTTAGTTTTATTTATTAAAATTTATTTTATACATATTTTAAAATACATAATAAATAATTTCTTCATTAGTAATTTATAGAATAATTAGTTTCAGAAATTAATTTTTTGAAATCCAATCAAAATACAAGTGCAAATTTCCTTTTAAATGGCAATCTTTTTTTTATTTTTAATTTTTTTAAAAATTTTCTTTTTAAAAAAAAAAGAGATTTTATCGTGAGCCAATGGTGTGTTAGAAGAATACTTATCTTCGACGTGTAAGTATATGTTTTTTAGTGAACTGAAAAGAAAAGTATTTCATTTATTATCCACATATTAAAAAAAAAACCTTTTTTCCCTATTTCAATAACTCTAGATGTCGTTAAGAAAGTGATTCTAATATACGCACACACACACGCGTACGTACACATGCACACAGGTAGATTATACGTGCGATAAATATTTTTAAATTCACATCAAACCTATATTTTACATTCATTTACATTCATTTATTTAACCACTTCTAAATTTATTTTTTACCAGTGCTACCTCGTACTTGCGTGCGCAACTACCTGCCCGCGTACACACCTATCCATGTCGTACCATGTACGCACGTACGCAAGTATGATCACACCGCCCACGCCCACCATTACAATTTTCTTAATCCCTTCTCGACAAGAGGTGGTTATTCTAGCTTTTCAGCACCACCAGGATATAATGTGATCGAAGTTTATCCATTCAACAACCCACTTCGCATCACATTTTGGACTCCCTCAGAGTCCATTAAAACGCTCCTGTCACGTATACCTCTGCAAAACCGCTCGTGGGGAGTGGCGGCATCGAGGTCACTGCCTGGCCAGGCTTGAAGGGAAATTTTATTAAATCTGACACCTAAACTAAAACGTCAGATTTATAATCTTAAAAAAGTTTTTATTTCGCATGGTCTTAGTATTCATTACTCGGATGATGCACTTTACTGTTGTGCCATAAAAATTTTAATAAAAAAAAATACTATGTAAATTAATTTAATAAATGTAACACGATCGGCATATATATTATTTTTTTAACACATTACCAAAAACTTCTCTAATGTTGTATATTAACAAAAGATTTTTTTTACAAAATAAATTTTTTTGATACATTATTATTAATTACACAACTATTATTGGCTTACCAAAAATGGTATCTACTCCTCAGGGGTGATCAATTTAAAAAAATTTAGAAGTCCGTTGCAGCCAGATTTTTTATTTTAAACTTAATATAAGGGTTTAAAGTTTCACTATTTTGTAATATTTTATAATTTTCAAAATTTGCCGCTGTTTGAAATGCCAAATCGCACAAAAAAAAAATAAAATCACTTCTTTCAAACTTACAAAAAGTTAATGAAGCCCGTCGTTGATTCAACCGCAATCAGCAAATCTTTGAATTAAAGCTCTATCTAGATAATACAAAAACATTAAATTTATATGCATAATTATAAGAACCTGAGCTATCAAATAATATAAATTTCATATAGTTATTATAAAGGTTTTGTGGAATTTTCGAAAAACTGCGTTTGAATACTTTCTTCGTATATTAATGTGATTTATGATAATTTTCTTAAATTTTATTGGCTAAAATTTATACACGTGATAAATTTTAAAACTCAAAATTTGCCGCCCCTCTTGTATCACTTTGATGACTTTTGCTGTCGCCCACTGTAGGATCTTTTCTAGGGTCTATAAAAAAACCATTTGGAATATCAATGATCTAATCTTGTTACACTAAACACGCAAATTATACAATGGTTTTGTAATAGCCTTTGTTTTTTCCTTCATTTTCTCAAAATATTTTAAAAAGTATAAAATGACTGAAAAATTTCAATCTATAACAGAAAATACTTTAAACCAAAGTAAACAATCTGATGAAAATAAAGAAGAATCTAAAGAATTAAACAATATGGTTGGTTTTGTTTAGGAACTTACCAGACTCTAAAGTTTTTAAAATACATTATTACCTAATGTAATTTAATTCTTGAGGACATGTATATTAAATTAAATATTATATACTCATTAATGATTATACTATTATGGGAACAGGAAAACGGTTCTACATTGGAAGTTGAAGAATTGGCTCGTCATGAAAGACGTCAAGAATTGAGATCGGCGAATTTGTTAGCTTGGAGACAAGGAAAGCCTGGTATGTATAACCCCTAGATTCTTGTTCTAGAATTCTATTCCGATTTGCATTTATTATTTAATATTATTAATATTATGCTTTTTTGATTGTTTTATTAGATTCGTCAATGTTTAAAAATCTCGATTCAAACATCAAGAAAAATACTGGTTTTATTAAAAAATGTAAAGCACAATTATCTGCCGAACATCAAAAAAGTTTATTGAAAGATATTCAAACCTTGACATTAGGGAAATATATATCTGAAGTAGTGGTAGCTGTGGTTGACGGTGTTCAAAAGTGTAAATCAACTGCTGATGTTTGGGCAGCTGTCGAAGTGAGTTTTGATTTAAATATAATTTTATGAGATTAAATAATTTTTAATAATAATAATAATAATAATTTTGCGAAATTTAGGTGATTTCAGTTTTACATCAAAGATTTCCTGACACATTTACACCTTTCTTAACTCATACACTAGCTCGTTCTCTTGCACCTCCATCTAAACAACAACTAGCTGCTATGGCTGCCGAACAAAGAGAGAAGGAAGAAATTAGTCGTATATCAAAACAACGTATATTGCTTAGAATAGCAGGAGAGTTGTGGCTAATGGGAGTTCTTAGGAATGTTGAAGATGGTATAGCCGCGTTGAATAGTGGAAGTGCTGCCGTAGGATCTGGAAGTGTGAATGGTGTTAAAGATAATGTCGCTGGATTTGTTAGCTCGCCGACCAAAGGACCTAAAGAAGTCAAGGAAGCAAAAACATCTGGTGACGGGTTCATGTATACAGTGTTGAAAGATTTGGTTGGTATAAAATTCCCTTTTGATCAATGATTTCCAAATAATTAGAAAATCTTTTTCATCTTTGTTAAATAATAATAAATAAATAATAGCTCTCTCACGATAGCAAACATGTCAATCTCCCGTTGGTTGTTTCCTTTTTGAAATATTTTGGCGTGGAAATGCTTGGCACTACTTCGCGTAGAACTCATCGTGATACGCTGGGTAGCTCTGCTACTACGACCAACGAAGAAACATCTACTGAAAATCAAGTCTCAACCGAGAAAATCGTAAATAATGGTGTTTCCAAACAGCAACAGCAACCAGATAACCCTGATCCAATTGTCACTCCTCAAAAACGAGAACTTTTTAAAAATTTATTAATCGATTATTTTAAAAGTATCGAGGCTCATCTTATTATGGATCATCAGGTATGTTCAAGAAATAAATTTTTTTTTAATAAAGAGTGTCTCTAATATCATGAATTCTTATATATATATATATATATATATATTTTATTGTGCGTAGACAATTAAAACTTTAGACCATAATAATCATGAATTCTATATCACCAAAGGTGAAGTTCCTGAAGCAACCAAGCAAAATTACGAAAAAGTTGTCAAGTTATTTGACAAATTTTTACAAAATGCTCAATTGTAAATTGTCGCTTCAATTTGTTCTTGTTGTGTTTTTTATTATATAAAGTTTTCTATTAATTCTATATGTTTTTTATAAATAGCCTTGCTGATTTTCTTGATATCGAAATGCCTGATTTACCTGATGAAGAAGGAATAACAAAAATGTCTACAATTATTCGTGATGGCACAAGCACAACTGAAAAAGAAGTATGATGTGCCTTTTCATTGTAATGAAAAAGGGTTGGCCATGATACTGGTCTCAATGGACCAGGTCTATTGCTAACCCTGTAATAAAAAGCAAGAATAACATTACCAATACTTATACTTTACGATTTTATAATACTTTGTAGGAAACATTTACTAGTAGTATCTGGGAAGATGAGGACGCTAGAAGTTTTTATGAGAATCTTATTGATCTCAAGACGCTTGTACCTGGTGTCCTACTTGAAGTCAAATCAAATAAAAAAGATGATGGAGATGCAGATAAGGATGACCCATCTAATTTACTTGACAAAGATGAAAAAGATGATGGCGACAAGAATAGCGAGTATAATTTGCCTGAAGATTGTAAAGGTAAATCATTAACTCAATATGTTACAATTGAAATTGTTGATGATTATATTGTACAAGGTGCTAATACTAAATTTGTCCAAGTCAAGATTATGAAGCAAAAGATTTTGAAAAAGAAAATGAACAAGCCGAAGAAGATACCTCAGGCAACTTAAAGAAGGAAACAGATTCTGCAAATAAAACAGGGACTTCTGCACAACTTGATGCTTTGTTATCACGTCTTCCACACATGATTAATCGTGATTTGATTGATCGGGCTGCAGTCGATTTCTGTTATTTAAATTCTAAGGCGTCTAGAAAGAAATTAATCAAGGTACAAAATGATTATTTTTTTAATAATAATAATAATTATTATTATTGTATTAATTGTTTTCATTCAATATACGTGTGCTTTTCTTTTATTGTTTAATCAGACTTTATTGGGAGTACCTCGCATTAGATTAGATCTTCTTCCGTATTACTCTCGATTGATTGCTACATTAAATCCACATTATCCTGATATAACATCATCAGTTTTGCAAGGGGTAAGATTTTTTTCTAAAGTTTTTTTTTTTTAATCAATTCGAATTAAATTTTTTATAAAATAAAATAGTTGGAGGGTGAATTCAAATCTTTACAAAGGAGAAAAACTGTTGATTTGCTTGAAACTAAAATTAAGGTTCATTGATAATTTATATTTTATATTTATAATTTATTTTGTGGTTAATGTTTTTTTAATGAAAAATCTAACATTACTTAATAATTATTTTGGAAATTAAACAGAATATAAGATATCTTTCTGAACTAACAAAATTCAAAATTACTCCACAACATGCTATCTTTCATTGTTTGAAAATAGTTCTTGATGATTTTGCAAATCATAATATTGATATTGCATGTAATTTGTTGGAAACTTGTGGAAGATTTTTATTTAAAAGTCCTGATACCAGTACCAGAATGGGAAATATGTTGGATATTATGGTTAGGAAAAAAAATGTCCAACATTTAGATAATCGTCAACTTTTGATGGTGGAAAATGCATATTATCAGTGTAATCCACCTGATAGAACAGCAGTTGTTAAAAAGGAACGTTCTGTGATGGAAAAATATATTCTTAAACTTGTTTATGCAGACCTTAGCAGGAAAAGTGTAGACAAAGTATTAAAAGCACTGAGAAAATTACACTGGGAAGATAAAGAGGTATTTATTTATTTAGTGTTTTTATTTGTTATAAAAAAAGCCCCCTTTCAATTAAACACACACATATATATATATTAATTAAATGTAGACCTATAGGATTATTGAGAAATGTTTTTGCAAAATTTGGAAAATCAAATACAGTAATATACATTTGATGGCAATAGTAGCTTCTGGATTACTAGAATATCATTCAGAGTTTGCAGTAACACTTGTTGATAGAGTAATTGAAGATATAAGAATCGGATTAGAAGTGAGTTTATAACTTTTATTTTAAATAATATTTATAATTGGGTATTTATAATTAATATGATTATATTTATTTATTTTAATTAAATAGCAAAATATCTTTAAACATAATCAACGAAGAATTGCAACTGTCAAGTATTTGGGTGAACTGTATAATTATCGAGTGATTGAATCATCAGTTATTTTTGATGTACTTTATTCAATTCTAACCTTGGGTTACGGTTTGTATGACTTTAATTTACTTTTTTAAGAATAAATTTTTTGAAGATTCAAATTGAAAATTATTTATTTATTTTTTGATAGAAAATGGACGACCTTCACCAAATCGGGTTAATCCATTGGATGCACCAAATGACTTCTTTAGGATTCGTTTATGCTGCACCTTACTCGACACTTGCGGTGTCTGTTTTGCGGCAGGCGGTTCTAAAAAAAGATTAGATGATTTTTTGATATTCTTCCAGGTAATATATAATTATTGTTTTTTTTTTTTTTTAATATTTTGAAAATAAATTATTTTTTCGTAAAATAATTTATACTCATTATTATAGATGTACATCTTGACAAAAAATAAACTGCCTATGGACATTGAATTCATGGTTGTTGATATGTACGAGGTATTTATTATAATCATATTTCTTTTCTCCTTTCTTAATATTATTTCAAAATATTTTATTGCGGTATTTATATAATCTAATTATCCGTTATTCATTCATTCGATGGTTTTTTCTTCTTTTGACTGGTTGGCTGATTTGTTAGGTGCTACGGCCTAATATGACTTTCTTTAAAACATATGAAGAAGCTGCGGAAGTTGTTGATCAAAAACTTTTGATGATTCAAAAAGCTATACAGGATGTGAGTGGTTTGAAAAATCCAGAAGAAAGTTTAGAAGAAAGTGAATCGACATCTGAAGAAGAGGAGGAAGAGGATGATGATGATATTGAGAGAGAACCTCGTGAAGATGTTGTATCAGATGATGACGATGTATATTTTTTTAATTGTTTTTATTTTTATTTAAAAAAAAAAAAGAATTTAATTAAAACTTTATATATTTTGTTCCTTTTGAATAGAAAACCACACAAGCTGAATCTGATAGGATGGAAGAAGGTGAGGATAAACTTATAGTTCATACTAAACGTCAAGACAAAGTTACTACTGAAGAAGATGAAGAGTTTGAAAGAGAATTTAGTAAAATGATGACCGAAAGCATGGAATCTCGTAAATATGAGCGCAAACCTGCAATGTTGGATGTTGCAATACCAATGTATCTTAAAGGGGTTGATAATACAGCAGAACATGTGGATGGAAGTGTTTCATTCGCTTTGCTAACAAAAAAAGGAACTAAACAACAGGTATGATAAGCTTAGCTACCTACATACAATCACACACCACATGCACATACATATTTAATTTATTTAATAAATTTATTTATATTTAAAATAGTTGAAAATAATGGAGGTGCCGGCTAATAGCGCATTGGCAGTAAACACACGAAATAAACAAGAAGCGGAACGAGAAGAACAACAACAACTTAAAAAATTGGTATTGAATTATGAGGAACGCGAAGAACATAATCAACGTGCTGCACTTCAACAGACTTTAGTGAATAGTGGAGTGAAAGTCACCTATCAAGCTGGTAATCGCCGTCCAAATCAAAAAGGTCGTAAACTTTTACAACATCAAGGTGGTTTTAGTAATGTAGGGGGAGGTGGTTCTAGTGGTAGTGGTGGAAGTGGAATTATTGCAGTTGCCGGTGGTGTTAATAATGGTGTCAATAATGGTGTTAATAATGGTGTCAATAACGGTGTCAATAACGGTGTCAATAACGGTGTCAATAATGGTGTTAATAATGGTGTTAATAATGGTGGAGTTGGTGGAATTGGCAGTAATCATTCATATGCTAATGAAAGGTTTTTATTATTAAATTTTATTATTATTATTATTATTATTATTATTATTATTATTATTCCTATGGGATAAAGAAAATAAAAATTATTATTTTTAATTTTAGACGGAGATAAAATAACCTAACAGTTAAAACAACAAATATATGTATGTATATATATATATATATATATGTATATTCATATTAAAACTAACTTTTAAAAGACAAAAGGGCAACATATACATTAGTTATGGGGATGATTGATTGACCATAATTCACATTATAATCAGCATCAAAATGGACCAAAATCAAAATTCAAATCAAAAAAATAAGAGTAGTAATAGCAAGAAATTCACCAACAAAAATAAAAAAAAAATCATGAGGAACTCACATTATAAAAAAAGTGATTTCAACAAAAAATTATAAATGGTTGAGAAATAAATGTATCAATATACACAAAAAAAAACAAAGTCTGTTTAGAAGGTTCTTTCTTCCCATACTTGACCTTAGAAATTTATTTAGTTTGTGAATATTTTACAATTTTTACAACTTAAAATTTATTCTTTGGTTGGGCGAAAATGGGATATGAAAGACAGCATGTGTAAGTAAGTTGTAATGTAATTTTTTTTATAATATTTCGATTATATATGTACATAATATATATACGAGTTTTATTCAATGATTAATTTTTTTTTTTAATATTAATATTATTTTTATTTAGAGATTTGATAACAAAAATTATTTGTACTTAATTTTTTTGTCAATTAGTTAATTTTTAACATTTTATTTTATATACATATCTTATATTATAATACATTAATTACTATTACTATTATTTATAATTGTCTTTTTTTTTAAAAAATAAATATTATTTTTTGTTCTTAATATAATTCACAAAGCATTTATCATCTTCAGTTAATATACATTTGTCAGAGCTTTTAATTGGTTTGCCTTTACTTACATATTCTATATATTTTGTCCAACGTGTAGAATATTTGCTTCTAGTCTTATATCAAATAAAAAAAGGGCTTAATTATTGAGTGCCAGGATTTTTGAGCCAATCAAAATAAATTTATGATTTGAATCATAAATTTATTTCGATTGGCTAATTTATAATTTATTTTGATTGGCTAATTCATAAAAATTCTAATTGCGTCAGTGGTGTATTCCATCCTGGGACACGTGAAAAGGACGGGGGACGGGTTCAAGCCACACCTGCCCGTCCCCCGTCCTTTTCCAGCATCCCTTCCATCCTCCTACATCAAGTAATGGCCCAAAGAAATAGACAAAAAACAAGCAGAAATCATAGAAATTGAATCACAAAAGATATTGGATGCTTGTAAAGCAGATAAAATTCTGTCTAAACATGTCTCTGAATGGTATCATCCTCCAAAATACTCTTATTGAAGTTTAACACCAAATCCCGATGATGACTATTTATTATCAATTTTCTTTTGGTGACCTGAAAAATTCTATCACCACTATGTACCTATCATTCATTTTATAATTGACAGTTGCAATGGGAAGGCTAAATCAAAAGGGTGGGCAGATGGAGGTGCACGATTAATTTATGGTATTAATAGAAATGTTTTGCTACTTAGTTGGAGTTATACTTGTGATTCTTGTAAAATTAGCTTTTATTCTCATGATGATAGAGTGTTGAGAAAATTACCAGAACATATACAACATGGTATGTTTATATATTATTAATTTATATATCAATTTCATAATTAGCATTTCCTTTTTATATGTTATCAAAATCTGGGTTTACTTTAGAATTGGTTTCAGAAATTTTGTCTCTAATTCCAGATATTGGTCTTGATAAGGTTGTTCAAAGGATACGTGAGAATCATATTGATTACTATTTAAAAAAAGAGAATCGTTATTATGAACATTGCATTAAGTATCAAAACTATTTATCAGCAAGTAATAATAGTGATTTCTTTGGAATGAATATTTCTATGAATAATTATGTTTTTAAATTTTTTTCAAAATTTGATGATCCAGATGAGTATCAAGGATTGTGTCCTTCTGCAACTGTTATAAGAGAATGTTTTTTAAATTACTTTGAAACTAAGTTGGAGAGTTTTATTGATATGTACATGAGAAATTTATCTGGAGAAGTTTTATCATCTGATCACACTTTCAAAGTAGCATCCTTGGTTTGGATTGCAAAAAACCAACCATTTGGTGCTTTTTGGGCTGTTTTGAATGAGTATAATGAGGTGATTACCATGGCATTTGTTAAAGATAAGTCAAATGCTTGCATAAAACCTATTCTTGAGAATCTTAAGAAACGCTACCAATTATTAAATAAAGATGATCCTTGGGCATGGTATTCAGATCAATGTTGCACTGATCAAAAGTTAATAAATTCAGTTTTTCCAAATACACCTGTAAAGAAGGACCTATTTCATTTTTTGGATCTCTATTTACGTAGTATGGGCAGAGAATCACAAAGTAACCTTTTTTATAAACAGTTTGTTAGAGAATTGCATGATATTTTTTTCATAAACAAAGATAATCAAAAAAAAATCCCACAACCAACTTTGTTAGAAGAAAGATTAGAAAATTTCATAGATAAATATAAAAATCCCAAGTTAATATTATAAATGAAAATTTTCTCAAACAGCATAGAGATAATTTGATTCATATTAGACTTGGATGTGTTTCTGATGTCCAGGACAAGCCTTCTGAAATCATTATCAAGGGTAAGTATTTATTTTTAATATAATAAATAAATAATTAAATAAATAATTAATTAATTAATAATTATCTTGAATTTTTAGATAAAATTAATAATAAATCTAAAACTTTGTATTTACGTGGAACTTCATCATTGGAACAAGCAAATAAAGCTTTTGCAACTCCTTTTAGACGTACTGCATGTGGACCTCGTATGACTAATGCATTGTTGAAGATAAATGTCTATCAAATAAATGTTCGTATGGGGAGAGTGAATCGTCAAGATAATTTCTTACTAAAGTGCAATTATAGTTATTTAATTAAAACAAAACTTAGAACATTTGAATTGATGAAAATTTTGTTTCCAACAGAACATTACGATGAATTTTTGATTTATAATATAAATTCTAATGAAACTTTTGGATTTTTGAGCAGTGATAAAGATAATTTATTAATTAATGATACTATGGAGGAAGAATTGAATGACATGGATATTATGGAATCAGGAGAAGACATGGTATCAAGCCTATTGGATTTATCTTATGATAGCAGTGATCCTGTGTCTAGTAATCCATCAACAATGAATTATGATAACTTTAATAATATTTTGATTGATAATAATAATAGTAACAAATATCAATCATCATCATTATTTATTAAGGAAAGAACTGGAGGTTATGTTTGCACCAGTAATTTTAATTCCAATGAACACAGTAAATTCAAAGAACTTTACAAAAATCATCTAAATCAAATTAATGATCCTAAAAATATTAATTGGGATAAAGTATATGAATATTGGATGGATCTTGCTGATAGAAATGCAGATTCAAATTCTTGTACATTAATCCATCCTAAATTAAAAGAACATTTAAAAGAGCATTTTTCAGTAATTAATAATTTTTATTTACGAAAAAAAATAGAAGAAAGTGTAGAAGCAGGTAGAATATAGTTTTTAAATATTTAACATTAATAATGAAAGATTTTAACTATTTATTTAATTATTAAGGGTCTTCATCAACAACATCCAACTCATCATTAAATACAAATGGTAAATATGCTTCTTACTTTGGTTTTCACTAAATATCATTGAGATATCATTAATTATTATAATTTTTTACATAGTATTAAATAATAATAAGAGACCAATATCACCAGTGCCATCATCACCATTTATGCAACAGCAACAAAAACGAACATATAAAGAACCAATTTGTCATCGTTGTGGCAAAAGTAAATCTAAAGATAAAAAAGAACATCCATTAAAAAGGTATTGTCCTGATGGTGTGTTAAGTACAAAAATACATATTACATTTCCTCACATTTGTGAACAAAAACCATGTTTTCAAAATTGTAATGATAGGAATTAGAATAAAATAAAATAATTTTATTATGTACAATATTTTATTTATATTTAAATCACGAGATATTACATCAAAATCCTGGCAGGGTTTTGAGCCGC